AATATTGCTAATGTAAATTATTCCTGAGGTAGAAAACCCTTGGTATTTCGAAAAATTATAAGTTAAGTAAGATATCTAATTCATGATTTTGATCATACCAATAATAATTATTGTCAACACAGTAGGGCTGACTAACGTGCTGGTGAGAATCTCGGGGAAGACATTCCACCAGCAGTGGAATCGAACTAGTGGTAAAGAAAAAAAACACCACAGATACAAAGATTCTAAATTGAACGCCAGACGCGTTTCGACGACAAAAGACTCACCAGTGACCTTCAACCCAAAAATTTAATGGAAGGTTAAAAAAAAAACGTATTTGAAGAGCATTGAAGAAGATAAAACAATACATTTCACGAAAAACTGGCAACCAATATATACGCTTACTAAATACCACATATACATTAGCGTCGAGCTGCATAGCAGAGCGTATATAATTAGTTTTACATCAAATTTAAACCAGCCCTGAAGCATCAAACAGGTTTCATTCCTCATAGGTTTATACGCGAACATACTCGGCTGATATATGATATATTTTTTTATTCTATACAGACCTAAATGATTAACCAGGCCTGCTCCTATTCATAGAGTTTGAAAAAGCTTTTGAATTTGTATCAGGGAATTTCATTGAAATCGTCTTAGATTTTTTTTTCAATTTTGGCCGCACTATAAAACAGTAAATAAGGACCTTTGAAGTAAAAATATATTCTGCAGTTTCTATAAAATTATGTTTTATTCGATTTCTTTAAAATTCAAAGAGGTTGTAGACACAGGGATACTCATCATCGTACATATGTCATTTTTGTGCAGAAATACTTGTATTATCAATTATAAGAAATAAAGAAATAAAGGGAATCGAAATAGATGATACAGAATATTTTATCTTTCAATATGCAGATGACACTTCAATTATATTTGACGGTACACCAAAATCGCTTGGTTCGTCTTTCCGCTTATTAGATAAATATGCTGCAATATCTGGTCTCTATATGAAATTGGACAAAACAAAGGTGGATGTGGATAGGCAAAAAAAAACTATGCCAAGAAACAGTCAATTATGTGTGTAAAGTGAGGGTTGGAATGGGGATCCAGCAGGTTTGCGCTACTAGGTATAATCTTTTCGGTAAACTTCTAAGACATTGATTTTTTAAATTATTAGCTAAACAAAAAATATAATATAATCAAAATTTGGTCCATACAAACACCAACTCTAGTTGAAAAAAAAACCCCAATTATCAAGACACCAGTTATTTTAAAAATTAAATCAGCTGTCTTTACCATTACAAGCACCAAGCTAATATACTACTCTTAAACAACGTTTTAGTACAATTTATTTATTAATTTTGGAAAACAAGCCTGCCAAGATTAAAAATGAAATATTAAGTCTGGATCATAAATTTGTGAAGCTGAAAATGTTAGATATTGAAAAATATGTTAAGGGCAGTAACTTACATAGGTTCGAGGGTTATTTCAAAAATAATACAACGCTTAAAAAGCCAGTAGAAAGTTCAGAAAATATTCATATTGAAACCCTAGTATTGTTTGGGCCATCAAACAGATGTAAAAAACACATTTGGATAGATGTTTTTAAAGCATTGGCAGAGTTGCAAAATAAATTTATATAAAAAAAAAAATGAAGAATGATTTGTAACAGACTCACTTTTGAATAATGAAAATATTAAAGTAAGAAACACATCTGTTTGCTATAAACAAAAATGATAAAGACTTGCTGTTGAAGGAATCTTGTTGATAATGATCTGGTAGATAATGAGAGTAAATCAATGTCTTTTGAGAAATACGAATGTATTTATAAAAATAAGTCTTACTTTCTTGCTTATAATGGGGTAATATCAGCAAAACAATTATGTAAAAAGTATCGGAAATTATATGTCTTTGTAAAATTCATAGACCAATTTTTCCAATTAATATAAGAACAAGATGACAGCAAGTGTTGAAGGACAGATACTTTGCCTTACAACAGGTAACCTACAATATGTTCCGAGGCTTTATTATAACTACGAGTAAATAAACTTGAATTTTCATAAAACTAAAGAGCTATTTCAATTATATATTGATCTTAAAGAATGGTAGGTTGTTCGGTGCTTTGGTGTATTTTTTGTCCAATATCATCTTGGACCCTTGGCTTTCTATATCAGAATGATTTTCATAATAAAATACCAGTTACTTTGTATACCTAACTTAGTTTTACTAAGCATTTCTTTACCTTATCAACATAACCATCTATGTTATACATTTAATATTGTTATATGTTTGTTTCATTTGTATGTTTGTATGTTTGTTGTTTTGTCTATGTTTATATCTGCGTATAGTTTCTCATAGTTACTTGCCAATTGAAATATAATCCACAAGAAGGTTAAAAAAACATCCTTGTGAGCTGATAAAATGCTGTAAGTAAGACATTGCTTTTTGCTGGTGTCAAATTTCTAAATTTCTGTAATATTTATTTGATTAAATTTACGAATAGATGATTTGACAATTTCGGGTAAAACTTATCAAAGTCATGCAATGATTGACCATTAAAAACTATGTCAAAAACGTATCACGTCACAATCTACATATATTGACAAACAATCCTAACAAGTAACACTATGAAAATGTGTAAGCAAACGGTAAACAAAGATGCGTTCACCAGTTGTCATATGCCACAACAGGCAAACCTTGATACATCCATGTCGATTTAACTCTTATGGAAAGCTGTAGCATTGGCAATTACGTAATATCTCCTCATTTTTAAAGACCCATGACTCCCGTTTAAATTGTTAAGTCAAAATTTAAGTGCAGGGTGGCAGACGTCTGAAAAGGAATGTTTATTAAACACTTTCTTGGATTTATTTGTACTTCTCATGAGGGCAAATTGGAACCACACCTTTTTAACGGTAGAATCGTCAAATTTGGCAATAATGTACCTTTAGGAAAAGGTAAAACGATACACACATATTTGTGGTGTAGCTGGCCTGGTTCGACAAAACGAGTGAAAGCAGTGACAAAATCCGGTAGGATATTATTTTCTCCCACCCAATTCTAAAAAGTCCTACAGGATTTTGAGAAATCTTATCGGATAAAGTCATAATTATTAGAATACTTTTAGTATCATACATAATATTCAAATCCTATGGGATTTATAATACCTTAAGAGAATAAAAATATCCTACATATGTTTTCTCCCTTAGATGTGAACAAAATCCCTTAGGAGAAATAAAAGCATTTCCTACAGGATATGTTTTTTCCAATAGTCCCGAAACAATAATTATGTGGGATGAAAAACTATCTGATAGGATTAGTAAAAACCCTAACGGATTTTATTACAGACAAATTATCCTGTGGGATAAAAAAAACCCTAAGGAATAAAAGCAAAACGTAATGGAAAAAAAAATCCTAAGGGAGAAAAAAATCCTATTTGAGAACGAATACTTTTTATATGCTATGTTACTAAGTAAAAGTATTATATTATTCGACTGAATATACCCAGTTTTCATTGTTCGAGAAATACATCTACAAGTACAACCAATAAAACAAAATTCGCGATAATAGTACTCCAACCCTGGGGCTTGCATGTCAGTTACTGCTACTGGTCCTTTGTTCGTTTATGTTTATCATAATTGACATTTGTGTATATTCTTCTGTTACTTATTCTTACACCAGTCTCTGACTTCTTTTGATTTGTGTTTTGCCCGTGGGTTTTTCAGTGTGTTTTTATTAGTCCTCATTTGCTAAAGGTATGAAGTGCACGTTGAAATCTCAAAAATATTGTTTAACCCTGTGGCAGACAGACCGACAGACAGACTAACAGACAGAAAATCTTTCGTCTTTTTACAACTACACAAAAATTAAATATTTGAAAATCGAATTTAAGTTTTTTTTAAAAGTAGGTGGCATTCGATGAAGTTTTATTTTAAGGTGGAGATGCCTGAATAGTTTTGCCAGTCACTATATTTCTTCGATTTTGTATTTGCAAATTGACGTTAATATTAACAATAATAAATCTATTACTTAATTTTGTTAATATCTCAAAATGTTTAAAAATATAAACTAGATGATATAAAGAGAGTGTGTTGTTCACCTAGATGTATGTGCATCTTCAACAAAGGATACACCAACATGTTAGACTAAATTATATTCATGACTAAAATCTCTTTTTTTTTGTTGAAACTATATTGCTGATAACTTTTTTTGTTTAAATACAGAAGAACAAAGACAATCCCACGTATCTCGATCAGCCACAATGTGCATGCATATGGCGGTGATACGTGAGTTAAACATTTGTCTATGACGGTCAAAGTTTCGCTGGTGTGAAATTAAATGGATTAATTTGTAAGGACTTTTAAAAACATAATTCCTTCTAAGCAAAAATGAAACTGGCACACTAAACACACTTAAGGTACTTCAGGAAACGGTAAGCTTTATGAATATCGATGTTCATATGATGTCATTTCACTATAGGAAGCAATCACTATTGTTGATATCTAATGTGATCTTGTAAACACTGAACCTTACCTTAATTAAGATATAAGCAATGAAAATAGTCCAAACGGTGAAAAAAATTAAATAAGCAAGACACAATAAGCATATCATTGAATATTCCATGAGCACCCCGTCCCACTCATAGAATATCAAATTCAATTTGCTCTCTCCCGTATGCCAGACAGGAAAACAACAAACTTCTCCTTCTTATTAATGAACAGCTTATAACCAACGGAGATGAGTAACTTTTGCTGTTGTAAGTCTACCTAAAATACGATGGCACAAGGTTGAGCCTGAAAATATATAACAAAGACACAAATTCGAAATAACTGAAGCACTCCAATCCTTAAACTTAGTGTTTCGTCTACCGGTATATGGGATATCAATCAAAATAATCTCCCCCGCTGTCATTTTCAACTTGACTATATTTACTAGCGACAAAAAATATATTAGTTTTATTTCTGACAGAAAAATTATCCATGCATTAAGTGGTTAAATATACCACTTTCATTTAAAATATTAGTGCTGTTCAGTACTTTTTTTATTTACCTCAACAGTAAAATGAAAAGTAAACATAATAATCGTTTTGTGATATACTTGATTCTGCTGACTGTAAAAGGTATGACATATTTCTGTATTTTAAGACCTGTTATGTATTTGATACATATATATATAGTATTAAAGTTAAAGTAAGCAAATGTTGACAATACGGAAGTGATTGTAAACGATTAACATTTCTTTCAAAATATATGTCATGCGTGATATTTTTTCAGATATATCTCCTCATGTAGATTCTCCGAGTGCATTGGTACACGAAATCGATATACTTGTATTTGTTATTGTTTGTACTATATACAAAACTTAATGTTCATTGTTAACCACATGCCCAACCTTGAAATAGAGTGAATGTAAACATTACAATAATTTCTGGACTATGACCGACAAGCACTACAAAAGTCTAAAAGTCTGAAAAGACCAGTTTTTGTCTTAATTTGCATGAACTTTTACTCGACATTCTCCAAAAGTATGACTTGTGTCTTAATTTTTCTTGACAAATTCTCATTTATATTAAATTTGTATGAAATTTACTCGACATATTCTCGACATTCTGAATATGGTCTTAAAATTTCTTGACAAATTCTTGACATTTGAATACTGTCTTGAAATTTCTCGACATATTCTCGACATTCTTATTTTTTCTCAGTATGGCTTGACATATTCTGAACATTTTGAATCGTGTCTTAAATTTACTTGACAGTTCTGAGTTTTACAAATCATGACCAATATTTATGATATAACTTTAATCTTTATTTCTCTTTATATGATATACTGTTGTTTCAAGTTACACTTCTTTACAACAAAAATAAAAGTTGGGCATTTAAAATAATTGAAAATTTGGGTATATAAATATTTTTACAAATGCAAATATGGCTATGAAATCTAAAGTATAAAATAATTCAAATGTGGGTGTGTTGATATAAAACAATTTCAATGTGGGTTTTTAAATAATTACAAATTTTGATTCCTAAATCTTATAAATTAAATGATTCAAACCAATCATATTGTAGACATATTTCATTCTACATTCATAATATTCAATGTTGATATGGTAAATAATTATTATACCAAAATGTGGTTTATATAAATAGCAAATTATGATGATATACAAATCATTCATTTAACAGAAGAAAAATGTGTGTAATGTCATCTGTTGGAATATATTAACTATTACACATGGACAGGATGTTCCCCATAAAGTTAAGGTATTCCACACCCCAGAGTACACGCAACTGTCAAATAGAAGTTATTGCTTTACCTGTAATCAGCCATACAACTTATCAGTTGACCGACCATGCCACTACAATTTAAAAAGTTTGTTGATAGATGAAAATGAAAATCATCATTTTGATGAAAAAAAATTGAATTGAAATGGATTTTCTTCATCAAAATTATGAAGTTAATTATTTTAACATAAAAACAAATTGAATAATTCCCAAAGATTAAAAGAAAATTATTATCTACTCCAGGAATAATAAAAAAAATGAAAAGAAATCATCGGTATAATGAAATGGTTCTCAAACAGACATGCATAATATAGATCTTAACATTTTTTTCTTTTCAGGAAGGAGTTATCACAAATATTTATTTTTGATAAAAAATTATAAAATTCAACACTCAAATTTGAATAAAAAATGTTTTTAGGTTGTTCCAAAAAATGAATAAGGTTTTTGAATCAAAATAGGAACAAATTCTTTGACCTAAACGAAAGCCCCTCCCCCCTCTTTTTTTAGCCACAAAAACCCAAAAGATGAATTGTGGGGTCCAAAAGAGACACAAGACACCTATTTAAGAAAAGCAAATTTGACTGGCAGTTTTGCGAACGGCAAAAATCTAAATGCTGTTTGTCAATACCTTCGACTTATATTCCAAGTGAAAACAATTACTTAAATGTTTAATAAAAATAAATCAAAATTAAACTACATGGGGATTGTTCAGGGCATTCCAACTTAGTTGCACCAAAAGGGTATCTTACTATACCAAGTTAATCCTTAATTCTTCAAAGTTTAGTTTAGCCATATAACAGCAATAGAATGTCATAAACAGTGCAGAATAAGTCTGTTCACATTTCAGGCGAAATTTATACTGTTGAGATAGTGTCAAGACATATTTAAGACTGTCAAGAATATGTCGAGACATATTCAGACATTATTAAGAATGTCAAGAATATGTCAAGACAGATCGAGAAAAATTTAAGACAGTCAAGAATTGGTCGAGACTAATCCAGACTCTTATCAGATGATACAGAAAGTGTCGAGAAATTTTAAGACAATGTTCATACTGTCAAGACACTTGTCAAGAAAAATCAAGAACCTTATTAGACAAATTCATACTATGTCAAGAATTTAAAAAAATTATTCAGACAAATTTAGAATGTCGAATAAAAATTCATGCATATTCAGACAAAAACTGGTCTTTTCAGACTTTTTGACTTTTGTAGTGAAGGAGATGACAATACGGACATGCATACAGAAAACAGTCTATAAATCATACAAAAAACAATCTTGATATTCAAATTTAAGCCATTTGGATACCAAATTATTCCTCAGCTATCAAACAATGAATTGTATTGGACTGTCTGTCTGTCTGTCCTCAGCTAGCCCTAAATAATAATGTGTACTAGCTCAGCGAAAATGTTGCTAAACCCCGAAACATACAAATTAACATAAATAATAAAAAAAAAAACACACACACAAGATTAACACAGGCTAGAGGTTCCTGCCTTGGGACAGGCACCGTAATGCGACAGGATTAAATATTATTTTTGAGATATCAACGTGCACCCAATATCTTTTTCAAATTTGAAAAAAAAACCACTGCGGCTAAATGCGAAAAAACACCCTTGTGTATGTAGTGTATGGCTACATAAACTGCTACCTCTTATTGTCTGGTGTCAAGGCGTCAGATGTTAAGATTCGAATCGCAGATACCCTCTTAGGTATATTATGGTTTTTTGTTTTACACACCATTTTAAGTTAATTAACATTTTCGACACTACACAGTCATAAAAAGTTGTGTTGGCTCTTTAAATGACCGTAATAAGCATTCACCTAATTATATACAGGATTCAATTTTAACCTTTCTTATATGTTGCATAAGAAAAAAAACAAAGTTCCTTCATCTTCCTAAGAACTTGTTATATAGTACCTATTCTGCTGTGTCGATGAATACCCTGGTATCTACGTATCATTAACTGATTGGAGGAAATACGTTATAATCTTTAAATAAACATGCTCAATATACTAAGTAAATGAGAGATACATCTTAAATCTAAAATTGGGTGTAAAAGCTTTAATATATTGCATAAAGCGTGGAATAACATTTTTCCTAAAAGCATCTGCAACAATTTTTTATTGTATGCTTCACTTATTTCGTAGCATTTAAATATCAATGTTATTCATGTATAACGTACGCACATATATATTTGTATTAAATGTCGTCTGTAATCTTTTAAAAAAGGATTTGTTTTGGCTTTTTTTTATCATATTTCTCTGATGTTAGGAAAACATAATTGCTTATTACGACATTTAATGATTATTTCATAGTTTCAGAAAGTATTGTACCTGATCCTTGTCCTGGGACAGATATACTACCAAGAACTAGAGGTAAGAAAGCGTTCAAAGATATTTAAAGTCAAAGGATCAGGTATGATAATAGCATTTATCAATACAGCACCTAATCCCTATTAAATTGTTTTGGCGTTTATAATCTAATGACCAACTCGAATATCACCCGAGTACACATTTATCCATAAATGTAATTAGCATAAACTTTTCGTCGGTTTAGCGAGTCCTAACATGGCGTATTAATTATGATGGATATGAGCCTTAATTACAAATATCACCAGCCAATAAATCAGCTTACGTGTAAACAGTGGTTCAACGTTGCTGACATTAACAGGACATATTATTAGATTGTGTTGGTTTAATTTCATTCACTCGTTTTAAATAATGTAGAAAAAGAGAAAGATAACAAGTTACATGTCGCATTCAGTTTTATACGGTTATATTATTTATAAAGCTAACAACTTAAAAAAAAACAAACAAAAAAACACTAGCTATCACATCCTTCTCTTTGGTTTAATGGACTTAAAGATGAAGCTTATAGATATCATGTTGATCTTTAATACCGGCGTTGATAAAATTCGCCGCGTTTGGTATCGTGTTGGAAATTTACCACTTTGCCAATTTAAGAAATACAAATATTTTTTTTCTTCCTTTGTTTTGTTTTTCTGCAATGAAATCCTGCAGAAAGTGTTCTGGGTACTGCATAAGATCGTGTCGTCCTGTACTCTTCTTTTTATTATGTAAAAATAATTAATTTGAGCTTACTAAAAAACAGCATATAACTCGCGGATACTTTGTTTTTGCGTTCATTCCTTTTCAGACGACTTTCGCGATTGTCTTATTGTCTTGGTGTATTTATACAAGTACAGACTGAAGTTTTACTTATTCGCGCCGATTTACATTCGCGTTATTTTTATACTCTCTAGAGTCGCAAAAAAATAAATTGCTTACGAAAATTAGAAGGTTTACAGTACATTAAGTAACTGTGAGAATCCTTTGATACGGTACTACTATTGTTTATTTTAAGTGATAAAACGTAAAATAAAAAAAATACTGAACTTCGAGGGAAATTCAAAACGGCAAGTTCGTAATCAGATGGCAAAATCAAAGTGTTTATTTAATTATATGTTCGTATAGGTAAGATTTTTTAATCTACTTACCATGCTTATTGAGAATAAACTGAAAGGGTTGAGATATGAACCACTGCGACATATATATGCCCTATCCAAAGTGAAGAACCACGTCAGTGGTTGTCTCAGGTAATAAAGTGTCTGCTAAATTTAACTCAATTATGTAATACCAGGGACAAATATACGTCTGAATTTCTGTACATACACATGTCTAATGTTTAAGAATGTACGTTACCCTATAGATATCTTGTGATTTTTATTGTCGTTGAATTCTAAAATATAATTGCTGTATAGCCTGCGCCAATAATACTGAAATGAGTACCTTCTCAGCACAATTATTTCCCCTTAAGAAATTGAGATTCGTATCTTTTAAATAAATGGAATAATAACTGAACAGTAACAGTCTGCTTTCATAGCTTATAATTTTTCATTTCAGTGGTTAAAATGTGTGAAACAGGATCTGCAGTTGAAAATATAGATGACGGCAATACAAATGTCGACAGCGTTGTACTTTCGTTAATGGAAAACAAGAATCATTGTTCCTGCTACGTTAGTGTAGAGAATATGAATTCCAATACTATAATATATGTCAAACCTTATAATGATTTAACTGCTTCTGCACCAAAGGAGCAACTTTGTGGAATGATAATCGATTTATTTCGTATTTATCCAAACCAAAATACTCAACGTGTTAAGGAGATTCCTATTGGATGTAACAGTGGACACAATTTACGTTCGCTTACTTTAACTAGCGATAATAAAAGACTTGAATTTGTATCCAAAGTGGCTGATGGTAATTTTACCAGAGGATACTGCATACATATTTCTAGAGGTCAGTTTGAAACGCAAGTAAAACATCACCCTAAAGGTAAAATCAAATAAGTTAAAAACAAAATGGACATCCTCATAGTTGATTATGCAACATGTGGGCAGAATCTGTATCCCGTCTGGAGTACCTCCGATCAACACTGGTAGTTAATGGGCTGAGTGTTGCTCGGTCGTTAGTTTTCTATGTTGTGTTTGTAACTTATAATTTGTTTGTCTTTTGGACGTTTTTCAAAATCTGCCATGGTGTTGTCAGTTTGTTTTCAACTCATGAGTTTGACTGCCTCTTTGGTATCTTTCACTCTTTTTGAAACAATTCGATTTTAGAAATCATTCATAACATTTAAGATATAAATGTTTATTAAAGCAAAGGCTGCAAAACATGTAAGTTTGATCTGACATTATCAAATAAACTATGGTAATTTTTAGCTCATTAATAGTTATCAAAGGTAACAGGCTTATAATTTAATACGCCAGACGCGCGTTTCGTCTACATAAGACTCACCAGTGACGCTCAGATAAAAATAGTTATAAAGCCAAACAAGTACAAAGTTGAAGAGCATTGAGGACCCAAAATTCCAAAAAGTTGTGCCAAACCTTTAAGTCTTTAAATCCTTTAGTTTTTTTGGCTCACCTGGCCCAATGAGCCCACCACTTAATACCCCTTTCACCTAATAACAGGGACATACAAATAAATTCCACTTTCTTATTTTCTTAATATTTTTAAGCTTTTGAATCCATTTTGCTGTAAAAATTTCATTTAGGGAATAATAAATTATTGCCAAGCACCCAAAATTATATAATATCTTTCCCAAACCTCCTGTCTTAGCTTTTGGAAGACCAGCAAATCTGAAAGACTTATTTGTGAGAGCTGATGTCTTTTCTACTAAAAGCTGTTCAACTGCAGGATGGTGCAAGTCGCGTGGCAATAGACGATGTCTGACTTGCCAACAAATACTGATTACTCAAACATTTACTTGCCACTCCACTGGGTCTGTGTGCACTATATTTTGCAATATAACTTGCAAAAACCAGAATGTTGTATACCTTTTTCAGTGTCGATGTGATATGCAGTATGTTGGCGAGACAAAACAGGCATTCAACAAGCGCATGAAAGTGACTACACCTGCAAGCCCGACCTCCCAGTAAGTCGTCATTTGAGATCACCTGGGCACACTCAAGCTGATCTCAAAAACCTTACTATTACTGTCATAGACAACATCGAGGGTTGGTCAAGGGTCGGAATACTTGCTCGGGAAAGGTTTTAGATAAGAAAGAGAAGGAGAGTTTCCCCAGAAGGCACAAATAAAAAACAGAATGAGTCACTCATTTTCCCTACCATCATTTTTTTCCAGTAACTCAGGCTTCCGTACTGGACTCTCACAGTTTTAAGGAATTTATTCCTCCTCCCAAACAACAATATTGAAAAAAATTACTAGCGTATTGACTATTGATAATTTGTATAGCGATCAAGATTATTATTTCAGTTTGACTACCACATGCCAAGATAAGATTCATTTTACATCTTACTGATGAAGGATATTAGTTATCCGAAATATCTAAAATTTGTTCATGATTTTTTTTATTTTTTGGTGATGTTGTACCCTTTTAAAGTTGTATACATACATGTATATACAAGTCCAAATTGAAAACGGTCAAACCTATGATTGCGATGGATAAAAACTGCAATTTTTATACGTGTGCAAGGAAATAAATTTCTCGGTAGAGGGGTCTAAATACAGCTCAATCAACATTTTCCAAAAGACCAAAAAAGTGAAAAAGTATATATTAACAAAACGCATTTGACTAGCAGGTCGAATATCGGATGTTCGTAAACCCTGCTGACTGCCATTGACGATTGCCAAAATAAACGGATCACAAGATGTAGCAAAATGGATCTTAATTATTAATTTAATACCAAACAGAAAACAATTAACTTGCGGAAAAGATGGTTTACCGCAAACAAAAGGTGCAAAAATTAGTACACTTTATCCGGATTTCGACAATTAATGTCTCTTCAGTGATGTTAGGAATCGAAACGGTATTTGACAGGCCTTATAATATACCTCAATTTAGGGTAGACTCTTGAATTTTGAAGAGTCGAAATAGGATGAACGGAACATATAAACCCGAAGGCAAATATAATGCAAGCCAAAACGAAAATATATATATTTATACTCAAATATAAAGCATTTGAATAATATGCCAAAAAGACGTCAAAACATTTACATGTTCCTTTATTTATATAAGTTTATATGTCACCGCAATAGGAAATGAGTAGATTAAGTGTAACACTTTAACGTCCTTCTGTCCGTCCCATTTTCGACTCTAAACTCTTACTGAAGTTTTCCTCGTCCAAATTTTATGAAATACATACACAATGATGGGAAAAACATCACACCGACAGAGATAAAATTAAAACAGCGATTCATTTACCGTTCTGTAGATATGCCACTTTTTAACAAAACTTTGATAATTGCAAAAGCTTGAGCTTTGAGATTAATTTATAATTAATTATAACTTATCTGAGGTGCACTATTTCAAGACAATAAAGAGATGTGGTACAAAAAAACATGTATGATCTCCAAAGAGACTATCTTCCAGACTGGTCATTTGACAACTAAGCAACAGATTGCTATAGAGTACAACTTCACTGAATGTTCATAAATTTCAAAAACATATGAAGAATTGGGTGTGATGCTTAAATCGTCAAAAAACTATACAGCCTTTTCTTTTTTCTGTGTATCATTGTTTGTTGTTTTCCATATCAAATTTAAAAAAATATAAACAAGTATTGAAAACTTATTATTGCCTATTTTCCGTTTTTGCAGTTCAAGACATGTACCTGTCAGAAAGAGAACTTTCCTACCAAAGTTCATCTTTGCATTCAGTTAAGTTGTATAGAAAAAATATATCTTTTAATGAGAAATTTTGAAACCGAAAGGGACAATTGGGCCACTTTTTACTTAACCAAGTGATTTCTTTTACATCAAAATAGACGTCTTTCGAGTTGGTGCACTTTCCAGTAAATTTCATACGTCACACTGCTCATGTTAATATGAAACAGTAGGAACCGATTGTGCGGGGTAGCTGTTCTGTACCTCCTTCCTAAAAAAACTTGAGATTGGTGTATACAAATAAAGCTTTGACTCTGATTGTATAAATAAAATGTTGAAAAAAACATTTAAAGGGGCAATAGCAGTCAAATTCATGTTCACCGATTTGACTTAAATTCTCATAGTTGATTTATAACATACTGAAACGTATATTTAAATTACAATAAGTCTGAAATAAATAGTTAACACTGCATGTATTCGATAATATATATCAGAATTTCATATGTATTTTAGTCTAGACGCTTTCTAATTAACTTTTGAAATGATCACCGGAGGCTGCCGATTGTCATATAACACGATATAAACATAAACATAAGTATAAATAGATAGCGACCCCGTGTAAATGGATTTTTATAGGTCTTTTAAATTTCATGTTATAGGTTAAATAAAATGTTAATTATCGTTTTCACCTTTATAGGAATGAATATTTTGTGGATCGAATCAGTTAATGAAATGGTTCACCTTTGTTTCACTTTTCAATGTTGACATTCTTTTCCTTTTAATGGCTGACCACGATTTATACATGCGTAACCAATTTTGAGCTATTGGGTTAAATTGAAGGTCACATGAATACGTATTCAATGAGGTCAAAGAATTCACTTGCAAGTGATTAATTCATCGGCAATGTGTTTTTGCATTTTTTGACAAAATTGAACCAAATTGGTTGCTAAAAACGAATTAATATTTCATCATTTCAAATGTATTAATGATTGAACCAAACAAAGTCATATTCTATTTTTTTTCATATCTCGTATCTAGTGCCCCTTTAAGCAAATGCTTTACCTTTTCCATATAAAACAATGTTAAATTCTATCCATCCGATCTAGAATTATAACACTTATATATTAGTAAAGGTCCAACCTCACTTGTCATGCTTGTCAGGGACAATGGTTCAGTGGTGGGATGTGGTGTTCCGAGGGTTGGAACGGGGAATGGGGATATATGGTTTCAAACCCGCCTTTATCATGGGTTGGGACTCCCTTTTTACAATGGCTGAAGCCCCCCCCCCCCCCCCCCCCCCCCCACTGCCCCACCCCGCTGCTTTCCAGTATTATTTTGATGCTAAGGATTAGTTATAAACCATTAATGCTAGAAAATTATCAGCTGCTCGTTTAGATTATTTTGTTTTAAATGTAGATGTCGAAGAACAAAAGAAGATATATACCAACCGTAACAGTCAAAATGCCTCCAAAAAATATACATAAGTTAATTTAATCGGATACAGCTAGTAACTATCAAAGGGAAAATAGCGCGAAATCATAGCGTGGATATTGTTTTAAAGCCATCGTGATTTTGCTTTATTCTAACCTACTCAGGAAATCAATTTACATCTGTAATTTAAGTTTACAGTTATCAATATATAATATTTGCGTAACCATTAAAGAATAATTACCAGAATTTCATATGGTTATTTCTATTTCGAAGGATTTGTATGGTAAGAATCTTACTATACAAATCCATGCTATTTCCATTTAAATATTTTAAAATCATGTTATTTTTACCAGTTCATAAAAATAAAACTAATACTAACAAAAACGTGTATCTATATACATTCCAGTTGCCGATTATGTCTCTTTACAATAATTTGTTTATTTATTGTTATTAATTTTTTTTGCTCTTTTTTTCGATTCCTCTGCTAATCAAAGGGAATTGTATTATTATTTTGATTCAGTTAAAGGTACTGGGCAACGATTCAATCGATGGACTGACTAGTACTGATAAGAACTTAACAGTTCTGGATTTATCGTTAGTCGTTTTTTCTTATTTATCTGAAACAGTACTGTTTGGTACTTAATCGCTTGCGATAGCTTATGTTCTGAACACCTGTAAAAGATCTTGAGATTCTTCCTTGTGGTTGATTCAGGCATTTCAGAGTTGTTCTGTTTAAAATGATCGTTTAAGTAGTAAAAACAGTTACTAGTGCTGGTGCTATAGTGTTGACATGCACGACCGTAACGTCTTAACGGAGGTACATAAACGCTTTACGATTGAGGGGAGGGTACGTTACTTCTGTTAAATGTGTTTGTTATCGCCCAACCCTCTCATTTACAAGGGACAATCGTGTAACATCGCAACTTAAGAAAACTCTCAAAATAAACATATTGATGAAAATGATGTATAAGTAATTAAAAAAAAACTTCTGCAAAGATAACTTGCTTTTAATTTTGAGCGTTAGAAGGACTATTCGACTACACTATACTCATCAGTGGTACTCGAATACAAACAAAGAAAATTGATTAGTCAAACACAAAGTTCACGAGCATTAAAAACCACAAATTCCGAAAATTGACACCAAATACTGCTAGTTCAATAGTGTGTCGTATTACGCAACATTACATAAACAGCTGTGAATACAGAAAATTAACATTTCAATGATATCTCTTATCAACAAAGCATTGCTAACTACTGGTCTGGGGATACCGTCCGGGACAAAACGTTCACTAGCAGCGTTTTGTCGACTTAAGACTCACCAGAAGCGTTCGAATACAAAATATCGACATTATTATATAAAGAAAAAAATATACACCACAATTTTCATAGAAATAACTCCAAATATAACAGAATGAAAGATTTTCTGTCATTTTGTAAAAATGAACTATATTAATAATGGTCAATGTTAATCAGAAACTAGTTTCTGATTTTTAAATTAAATTTTTAAGTAATATATTGATTAAGGTGTGACGCCATCATTGTTTTTCCCCTATTAGTCTTTGTTAAATTTGCACTTTTCGAAAAATTGTACATAATGTGTCTTTATTTCAAATAAAAGAAATACTTGACATGAGTGAAGTTTCATCCTGACAGTACAAAGACAAAATATCATCTAACTTGCATTGCATGTAAGCTAATAACCATCGTTGAAAGTTAACCGATCAAAATTCCACCCCTTTCTTCCCTGTTTACAAGCTTCAGGAACCATGTAATCTAAAGTTTTCATAATATTTTATAGAAACACCAAATATTAAAGAATGGTGTTTCCAAACTCCAAAGATATGTGTTTATGACCCAGAATTTTTTCACTGCACTGAAATGTTGGATTATTTCAATGGATAATTTTTTCGACTCTTTTCGTATGCAAAAGGATGCAACGTATAAGGATTTGGTGATATTACATCTTTGAACATGCATCTGCGCATATGTTTAGTTTGCCTTATTTATTTACATAAGCAATGAATTCCTGTTAGAGGTTTTTTGCTTACAATGATTCCAAGTAATAAAGTTGAAGTAATCTCTTTGACAGTTTACTAGACTAAATTGAGAGTTGGTGGTACTTTTATATCCGAATCACGTTCATCATATCCATGTGAATAATTGATAACTCACGCTTTCACAATGTTCACTGAGATCATGTGAATTTCTTTTCTTTTTACAGCACACAATTATGGAGGTCAGGATGATGACAAAGAATTGAAATTGATTTGCAGTAATCAAGATCAGTCAATAACAACTACATTACAGCCAACTACATCTAACTTTAATGGATCGCTGAATAAAAAGACTGATTCGATAGGTAAAAAACATAACTTACATACCTTGTATTGTTGTTAATTGTGTTTTGTCCACTATCATCAATGTCTGATAGAGCTAGTGTAACGTATTTATACCCGAGTCATGAAACGAAATGAACATTAAGTACTTGAGGAGGCTCGAAGGTACAAACATTTAAGCAAAAATTTAAACATTTTTTTTCATTACAAATTTTATTTATAACACTATTGTTGTTACTTCATGATATGGTACAAAAATCAACCAAACAAATCAATTCGTTTTGGCCCCAGATGACTTTTTAAATGTTTATATCATTGAAAAAGCTCCAAATTATCTCCCTTTGGTGCAAAAATGTCATTTTGTTGCATTAAAATTGAAATATCTTTTTTAACTCATCGGTGACCTATATGTTTTATTATTTTTTTCAAATAAGCTGTACTTAAACTAAACAATTGTAAAATTTAAGCGATTTCTGTAATTTAGTTCTTTTTTTATTTCTTTATTGCTTCTATTTCTCCTATTAGTTCAACAGAAAAAAAGTACCTTTACAAAAATGCTTCTTTCAAAGGCAGATTGTGAGCTTAAGTGAACGGTGACCCCATTTTTTTATTCTATTTTTCTATTAAGTATATGATAAAGTTCATTTATAGAAAAAATAGCGAAATCCTATATTTGAGAAAAAATTGCTTTTATACCCTGGAGCCCTTAAGATTTAAACTACAATATATCTGTTTAAAATTTCTTTTTTCTTTTATGATAACGATAATGGTATGTTTAAATAAATTAGATTCATGAAATGGCGGACAAAAAAAATTATGAATAATTCAAATTGCAAATATTTAAAAAATGAGCACTGAGAGGTTGTATTTTAGATAATTGAACAGAAATAATCAAATCTTTAAAAACATCATCATTGAGTTATTGTATTATCGTTAGCGTGCCACATTTAAAATTAATAAAATGAATAGTCAAACCATCAAACGAAAAAGCAAAAGTGTCGATGAAAACCGAAAGGGACAAAAAATACAAGAGAAATATTACTTTGAATTCTTAATTCAGAATGACTTCAAAACTTCTAAAATGAAAAACAAATCGTATCACGAACAACGGTTTACAAAATACTACACAGAAATCTAAAGATTGAGCAGTTAGAACTAATCAAAAACAAGTGCCTCTGAAAGATTATCAGATATGTATATGTATGTGGCAGCCGTCGTGTTTCTCATGGCTTATGTAAATGCTGTGATACATCACATATGGTATGTCGACATCTAAGAAAAGAGGACAATATTATGGAAACGATAATTGAAACATACATGTGGTCATCAGTGACACTTAAATTCCAAAACGGTCAACCAAATCACTACTATGCTAGTTACATGTTTAAACAAACGTCTTTAAATTAACAGTAGGAATCCTTGGTTCAATATAGATATGAAAGGCAAGTCTAGAGACCACATATAAAAAGAAATAACCGAGATGAATTAAGATAGTGGAAATTTAACAAAACCTAATAAAATCAAACACTTGACTATATCAACCAGTGGAACGTCTAGAAAACAAGTTTTATATTCCTGACTAAGCTTTGGTTGTATATAGCTAGTTTAACCTCTCACTATTAAACGTTGAAATACTGTTGTAACTTTAAAATATATAGTCAATATGCAGTCGCCACCTGAATTTAGCTTTAAAGAAATTTTAAGTTCGCAATTTAAAAGTTGAAATCATCTATTTTGTGTTTGGCTTTAGAACTCAAGCGATCCTCATGTCAAAATATAGATGTAAGTCATATACAGTAGACGAAGATGTGCATATTGTATATCCGAAATGAAAAGATCGATGGGATAGAGAAGTTCAACGCAACCGCACTAGATGTTTTTTTTTTATTCTAAGGACTTCGGTCATACCATTTTGCTTCCATCGCAAATAATCATTGTTATCATTGAACATAATTGTGTTTTCTAATTTTTTTTGTATTTGTTTTTGATAGATAAAAATACAATGTATATATCCATTGGAGCAGTCGCTGGGATTATTGTCTTCATTTTAGTACTGGTGATGGTGATACTACTGTGTAAAAGGTATTCGTTTTAACGGCAGTTACTTAATGTTTAATTTTGTTTTGAATTTACCATGTATCATAGGAAATCTCTTTAATTTGGAAGTTTACGTTAATTGTACGGGAATATGGGAATGATGTCTGCATAACGAAATAAATTGATAACATGCCAAACGATGAAGTAAAACGTTTTTAAAAATGCTTGGTTATTATAAGTTGTTTTTCAAACATTCATTGTCAAAGAGTGTGCAACGTTCACAATCTATTAACTTTAGTAACAATAAGTCAATATATGAATACAAATCATTCCATAATTTCTTAGATAGTCAGGATCGATAAAATGTAAATTTAACTGATAAACTCATCATAGACATCATGATTTAAAATTGTGTACGCCAGACGCATGTTCTGTCAAAAAAAGACTCATCAGTGACGCTCAAATCATAAATAGCAAAACATACAAGATATAGTATCTTTTTTTTCAAATTCAGATGAGGATAATTCTAATATTCCGTCTAAGTACTAGAGAAATGCGACCTTAAATTATTGTATATTGTAATTAAGAAGTACATGGGTAGAAACAAAGGTTTAGGTTTAACTTTACTAAGGCGGCAAAGTTTACATCTGATTAATTTGGCTATTCACTTAAAGCCCTTCTCAGTTATAGAGCTTCCGCCGGTTCTAAATATGTCTACACTCCTGCTTTTCAAATGTTAAAGATTGAACGTTTCTGATGACGTATAGTAAGAATTCTGTTCTAACAACACAATTTATAAAATGTTATTTTTTTTTTTAAATTTCTTAAGTATTTAAGTGTGCGTTCTTGCAATTTCCGATCCATTGGAAGTAATGAAAAAGCGATGCTTACCGAAAATTTAACATGGATAGACTTGAATTTTTCGGTTTCAAAAACTCAATATGGAAGAAAATGTGAATATTTTCATGTCATTTTAAGTAAAAAAAGTTTAGAAAAACATAAATTATGATACGCGCCAAAATGCAAAATTTATTAAAATCTAAAAGACACTGGATGAAGTGACGTATTCTATATTGAACTGTCAAATGAATAAGTATTCTGTATAGGCCAATTGCATTAAAAAGGTATTGAAATAACTGGTCAACGTAAACAGTATTGCATATGCCGATTTAATCGTTTCATTTCAGGTATCATATCATGTGATTATTCCCCTTAAAACGTTCGAAATCTTACTGTGAAACTAAAAATGATAAAGTGAATTTGACATGATCTCACTGTTTCTTTCTTGAAATGCAGTAACACCTTTCAGTAAGATTAGCCTACGTATCGATGCAATCGTTCATTCTGTTTTATATCACAGACCATGTACATAACATTTCGGATTTACGGTTGTGTTACAAAATTGTAACCCATATGTTATCACTTTGCATCATATCAAAATACAAAGTTGTAATTTTCACTAGTGATGACATAAAATCTATGCAACAGTTTAAGAGCATTCATAAAGAAAATTTTGATTTTAAATGTGCGACTTTGCTTACAAATTTTAAACAGTGGAACACAGACAATTACATATATTTTTCTTGTTACTAAATGATATTCAGCGGAATCAAAAGACTGATATTCGTTATTATTACGGTAAAACATATTCCTAATTTTTTTTTTTTGAATAAAAAGTTCCTATTTCTCCTTTGGTTACACAAGTAGATAATATTATGTGTATAATCTGTGTAAAAAAGTTTTTTTTTTCGAAAATACAAATGTATATTTTTTTTTAAATGATACATCCCGTCCACTTATTGTTACAATAATTATCAAGATCTAATGCAATTCATATCTATGTTATCAAACGGAAAAAAGTTATTCTTCTATAACATTTATACTTACTAACTATACAATGTGTTTACAATGATATGTGTAAAGTTTTACAATCAAATGATCGGTTTTGATAATAAACAATTTAGCAAATTGTCGAAAAATTGCAGGAGGAAGCGTCTGTATTCAAGTAAAGAGGAATCAAAAGCAAAATGCTCAGCCACCACAAAACAGACTGTCGTTGATGAAGAAGAATACGACGGATTGAAGTACAACATGCTCTACGTATCGTCCGAAAAAGATAACCATTTCGATGCCAACTACTCTACCGTAGACGGAGATTTATCCAGGCATAAACGTATTAAAAAGGAAGAGGGTTGTAGGACAGTTGAGGACCAAGAACATATTCATAATTCAAAATTAGATATACTGTTTGTTACGAAAAATGCTCAACAAACAAACGGAGATAAGAAGGTTAATATTGCTGCTTTATCAGAAAACGGATGTGTGTATGCAGTTGTTGACAAAAGTAATACAACAAAGAGCTACATGAACAATGTGGAAATAAAAGTCTCAAGTCAAACTTATGCTATTGTTAATGAAACCAGAAAAGACAACCCGAAGTAGAGGAGATATAGGGAGTAGTATTGTGTTCACGTATTTTACGTCAAAGTACCTTAGAACTATATATCTTCCGAACAAGTACAAATCAATCTTTATGATAAGCCGAAAGTTACATTTTGTACACCAGGAGGAGCAAAGTGTCAAAGTCAATTATACAGAAACCATTAATTCTTTTAATTCAATGAACAGTAAAATTTCTGATGACACCTCTAGTGATGTTTTTCTTTGGAAGTAGAGGACTATGATGTTATGTTTTCTATCATATATTTAAAAAAAAATGTTTTTACCATCAAATAAGTTCTTGTTATGTCATGTAATTTGATTTTTGATTTTTGTGTTTTAACGCCACTTTTAAGTATCGCTTTTAACCTATTTCGTGGCGGCCGGTTTTTATTGATGTAGGAAGCCGGAGTGCCCGGAGAAAACCACCGACCTTCGATAGGATGTTTTGTCATGTATTCAGATTATATAACATTTATCGATCAATGATTTATATCAAAGAAATTTACAAATCCAATATCAATACATTTATATGAACAGAAATATGCCATTCTTTGTACAGGAACCCTTCAGAAGGTATGTCTGCCTCACTTGCATTTATCCCCAGTTGTTTTTGTGTGATATTTATTGCTTAGTTTATATTCTTATGGATTCTGTCTTGTGACTGTTGTTTCTCCTTTCGTCTATTTTCTATTCGTTAACTCAGTATGTAGTTTTCTATGTAGTGTTTTGTGTACTGTTGTTTGTCTATTGGTATTTTTTCCTTTTTTAGCCATGGCGTTGTCAGTTAATTTTCGACAAAAGAGTTTGAATGAGTTTGAATGTGCCTGTGGTATCTTCGCCTAATTTATGGTACACAGATAATGAAAAAAAGAATGCATTCGCAAACCCAAACACGAACACGGAATAGAAGTTGAATGGCAAAAACTTAAAGTCTGATGTTACAAGCCATATTTTCCAAATCAAAAGATGGAAATGCTGTACCTACCAGCTAAATGAAACCTTGAATTGAAAATTATAAACATCTTCTAAATTTGAATATTGATAATGTTTGAAATTCAATAAAACAAACAAGTTTGGTTAAAAGCAGTGTAACAGCCATGAATCGTAATTTCTAATTGTGCAGTCAGGCCAGATATCACTTCAGTATTTGAATTAGGCATTACTTTTTATTTGTTGTGAATTTTGTAATTTTCATGTCTAATTCCTCATCCTAAACCTTCCCTTCCAACTATTCAAAACTATTAGTATTTGTGTTTTTTTTGATAATTTAAGTATTTTCACTTTGATATTGCTTTAAACGCACGAAAATAATAAAGTGCTATTAGAACTCACTTTCACTGTTGGTTGACTTTAAGTCTCAGGGGCTTCAGTTGTCAGCGTTCTGGTACTGACATGATTTTTAAAAAGACTTGTCCCAAATTTTACGTCGATTAGTTAAAATATCATTAGGACACTAAGATTCCAACTCACTTATGTAAATTTGACTTCATAATTTGTTAGATCCCTTTTGGTCATATAGCTCTTCACATGATTATGTCTAATAATTTTCTACATATTCGGGTTTGAGCGTTCCTGATGAAGATAATTCAAGAATAACCCTTAAAACACAACAAATAATAAAGATTGAATTTCATTAGACTTAAATCAAACGTTATAATCCTATTTATATCCTCGTTTGGGTTAGTATCAGGCAAAAAAAAACCAACAATGAATTTCAAATATATATATGATTTTCTAAAATCAAATTTCAAATGCATGGCTAATTCCTGAACAAAAAATATATATTAGCTTCCCGTATCCAGGTTATCGTTAGGCAATCACATTAGGGAATAATTTCTACTAAGTATATAATAACAGTGATCCACGTGATAATTATCAAATTTTAAACTATTCACAACTATTTGCATTTCAAATTCATATGTTATCAAAATTAAACATTGTTACAGACCTAAATTTGTGTTCATTTTTTTTAATTTGACAGTAAATTAAAATGCAAATTACAAGTAACATGTATGTTGATATCAATCTTTTTCTTTGTTTTTCAATAAGTCAATGAAATGAAAAAAGAAAATTCTAAAACATTAGTAAAATAAGTGAAAGGCTATGAATTTTGGTATATATGAATGTCAGTTTTGCGTCATTTCAGGCAAACTTCATTATACAGATTCTCTTGAATTAGATTTTTTATTTTCACGTGAAACATTCCGGTTGGTAAAAACAGGAGACCGATATATATTAATAGTTGTTTCGGCATGACTTATTCATTATTTGCAAATTGAAGAAAATACTCCTGAATGAATCGAACAGAGCATACAAAACAGTTCAAAGCAAAACAGCGCGAAATTGAATGACGGCTATTTTTTTTTATGTATTAGCTGATCACTGATGAAACATTTATTGAAGGCCCGTGCATCATTTGCAGAAATTTGGACCGTTAATTATTGTATTATTAACATAAGTCGCTTGGTGTGTCCACATAGCTTTTCAGATATACTTCAATCAGGAATGATCCAAATAAAGTAATGCTCGCCAAGTATATAAAAAAAATGCGAGGCCGTAATTAGATATACCAACATGTGGTATGAGTGCCAATGAGACAACTCTCCATTCAAGTCACAATTTGTAAAAGTAAACCTTTATGGGTCAAAGTACGGTCTTCAACACGGATCCTTGGCTCACACCAAACAGCAAGCTATAAAGGGCCCCAAAAATTACTAGTGTAAAACCAACCAAACGGGAAAACCAACAGTCTAATTTATATAAAACAAAATATCGAAGCCGTTATTCAATGACATCTAGAGGAAAGATGTAGGGATCCATATAGACAAATGTCCAATATATGGTAAACTTTGCACAATGACTTCTGCTTTCAAATAAACAGACACCAGGTAACAAAAAAAATGGCACAATAAAAAGTTATGTCTGCTTGTAGCGGTTTTGTTAATCGTCTTATCAATATGATTATCATCGTTTTAAATTTTATATAGATGCACTTTTTTCTTGCACGTTTTCCCAGTGGTTCACTATTGTGGTCATTTATAAGCATTGCATAATTAACTATAGCCTGTTGATTGAGCACTGCCCAGTAGCAAATATTTCATGCATATTTTGAGCAAACATAAAAACTACAATTAACTAGTTTTGTACAGTATAGTTCATTGACAATTTGCTTCGTTTGATACGTTTGAGGGGATGGGACACGATATGGCGTTTTTAAAAAATGGACACGATTGGGCGTTCATAAAAAGAACACGTTTTGGCGCCCTTTAGCAACTAGACATGTTTTGCAGTTCAACGACGTCAGATGGACACGTTTGGGGGAAGGACACGTTTCTGATTGTTTCAAATGTATTCAATGTTATTGGCAAAATGTAGGCCTTTGAATTGTTGTTCAATATTCTTATATATGAAAATTTTGTATATGTGTAACTTTTTATTTCCGTGTTGAGACAATGTGAAAGTAATTCGAATTTTCATTCTTACTGTATGGACGATTACTGAAGAAATACAAGGTATGAATTTATGCATTGATTTATTTTGATAATGAAATAGTTATACATCAATCAAGGTTAAAATGCAAGTAATGCTAATTGCAAAAGACACGACACAGGATTTTCAAAAATGTTTGAATTCACATTCGTTTGGTTATATCTAAGTCTAAACGTGTCTTTGTTGTTGATTGATTGCTGTTTCATTGACATACATTTAAAATTTCATTTAATTCATAATAGCAAATACGGATTTGTTAAATATAGTCTCCTTATTACCGTGCCGATCAAGTTAGCCAAGATTTAGGTACTTTATCAATATAGGAGGAGGAGTTTGAAAAATAAATACGTCTATGCAATATTTTAAATCGCTCCCAGTTTATCTTGTGATTCAATGTAAATGAGACTACGAAAATTCGGCAATCATCGAGACAAACATGAATGTAAATAATATTTGAATATTTATATAACATTCCTGTTGCAAGTTAATAAATATATAACAACTACTTATAAATACTCAAATAGTGCTTATATTAATGAAACCTGGTTTAAATTGATATATAAAAATAAAAGAACAAATCAGGACTACATGTTTTTTGACATTTAAATATATTTTGGTGGTCATTTGAATTACATTATAAATTTGAAGGAAAAAAAATGTAAGTTAAAAAAACAGTTACTGTGTATATCGTTCAGCTTATTTCTTTCTCAACCTTTTTTTATGAAAGACGTTTTGTTTTTAAAAGCAAAAACATTCAGGATTCTTCAATTTTAAGAACCGCTTGTTTGTTTGTTAAAGAGGGTATCGCTTTTAAAAGACAATAGATCATTGAAGACGTATACAACATTTAAAGGGGCACTAGCTGTCAAATTCATGCTCACTGATTTGACTCAAACTCTCATTTTTGATTTACAACATACTAAAATGTATATCGAATTAAATTAAGTCTGAAATACACAGTTAAGAAAGCATGTAATCGATAAAATATATCAGACTTTCTTGTGTATTTTAGTCTAGACGCCATGTAATTAACTATTGATATGACCTCCGAGTACTGCCGATGGTCACAAAACCTAATATAAAAATAAACATAAATACAAATAGATTGCGACCTCATGCAATTGGGTTTTTATAGGTCTGTTTGAATTGATGTTATAGGTTAAACAAATGAAGTAATTAACGTTTTTACCTGTATAAGAATGATTTTTTGTGAATCGAATCAGTCAACGAATGGTTCACCTTTGTTTCACTTTTAATGTTGACATTCTTTTCCTTTTAATTGCTGAACACGACTTATGCATGTTATCTTATCTCTTGCTAATAGGTTAAAATGAAGGTCACATACATACGGATTTGATGCGGTCGAATTATTCACTTGCAAGTGAATAATTCATCAGCGATATTTCTTTGCTTTTGACAAAATTGTACCAAATTTGTTGCGAAAAACGATTAATGATTTCATTATTTCACTTTTATTAATGATTGAACCAAACGAAATCATTTTCATTTTTTTTTCATATCTCGTAGCTAGTGCCCCTTTAACGAACTTAATGTAAAATGCATTTCATACTTGTAGATAACTGAATTGTCGTCAAAAAAATACAAAATTCCCCTCAATGTTATCATTTGTGTGGCTTTCCTTTAATTTCACTCTTTTCTTCATACTTACACTTTCCAACCTGCCCAACATACAGATGTGCATTAGAACCGGACATTTGCTATGGTGAAGAAAACACGAAAACAGTTAGAATAAACTTGCATTATTACCAAAATACATTTGTAATCGACAAGAAATATACATGAACATCTAACAAATATCATAATAAAAAGTTTAAAGTGTTGAAAGAGAACTTCTAGACACTCAATTGAACAATGTCAATCGCTTAACCAAACCGTACCAAATTCGATATTTTGGTTATCCTGTTTTAATTTGTAAAAAACAACCATTTCAAATTT